CATGAGTCATGATAGGAAATGAGTTTGAATTAGCCCATGTAGAAAGTGGCATCAAACATTCAAGTATGATTGAAACATAATTAGGTTGTGGGGATCATAGACAGATTGTGTGTTAGTGAGGGTAACTAAAACAAAAGATATTAAAGAAGAGTATGTATATATTCACATAAGGGGGAGAAGTATAGATTAAGTATAGAGGAAAATCAACAGATAAGGGAAAAAGGAAAAGAAGAAATAGGAGAATATAAGAAAAAATACAGTGGGATTAAGAAAAAATTGCATTCAAAACTTTAAGGGCTAGTAAGTCCAGCTTTTCTTTTAATTTTCTGGTTATTTTTATGCTATTTTCCATTACATCACATACTTTAGTGATAAAAGGCCATCTTTCTTTAGCAACATTTTGCACATACCCAAAGCTATGGAGACTAGGATATCCATGTAATTTTAAAAAGTAACACAGCCTTTCTTCACATCCCCACTCCTCATTCTCACTCAATATTAGAAATACTTAAATACTAGAATGCAGAGTAATTAGAATGCAGTTGATCAAGCATTCTTTGGACTCTTAGTTAAAAATAAACAAATGATTGGAAATCATTGGAATCTTATGTTTATAAAAAAAAGCTGAACTGACTTTTAAAATTAGAATATGATGAAAATACAGAGAGGTAAGAGTGTATACCTGACCAATTATGAGCCCTTGACATCCCTCAGAGGCACACAAAAAATATTCCTGACTCTTTTTGTCAGAGAGAAACTGAGGCACAGCTTCCTGAAGTTTATTCTTTGAGTTATTATAAATTTAAATTTAAATAAGAGGAGCCAGAAATGAAAGCCCAGCTTTTTACCTAGCCTAGTACTACAGAAATGAGAATATATGATACTCACTGGTAAACCTGAGCTTGAAGTGAGCATGCCAAGAATATCATGGGGGTGAAGAAGGAGCAGGAAAGACTTCCTAGGTATTTTTGGTCTAAAAGAAGGCATTAAAGTCATAGACCTTGGAAAAGACCGTGTGAAAATATTATCTCCAAATTAATCTTGTGGCCTTTTAGAGACTTTTAGTGGGCAAGAGAAACTGAAGGAAAGAAATATCTCTGCAGCCACAGCAAGGGATAACAGTAGCTATGGACTGGTTTTTGCCATTGAGACTGAAGGTGGGATTGCTGAGCAGATTCCAAAAGTAGTAACAGAAAAAAAAGGATATTTGCAAAGAATGTTATAAATATTTATGGATTAGAAAAGAATGGAAGTGAATCTGATTCTGTAAGAGGGTTCCTATCAGTTCCATATGCTTATTAATATTTCCCTTACTGTTTCACTGTTGATATAATTGCTCTTCAATTAAAGTAGAATACACTATCTCCTTGGATTCTCACCACTTGGTGAGGAGAACAGGACAGCTATTATCATAGGACCATAGATTTAGAGCTGGAAGGGACCTTGTCCAGTCTTCTCATTTCACAGATGAGAAAGCTGAGGGATAGAGAGGTAGAGTGACCTGCCCCAGATCAGCACACACAGGTAGTAAGTGGCAGACCAGCATCAGAATTCAGGCCTTCCAAATCCAAATTCAATGTATTTTTACAAGTTAAAAATTTTAAATTAATTGGTTAATTTTAATTAATTAAAAAATTAGCAAAAAAAAAATCAATTTTCTCAACTCTTCCCCACCGCCATTGAGAGGTATAACATTACTTGTAACATCACTTTTTCCTCCATGGCACTTTACTGCCTTTGCATCTCTATTCCTTTTTAGTGTTTTCCTCTCTTTCAAATATCTTGAGAGAATTGATCCCTAAGCACTCTCAAAATTATCCTCATTTTACAAATGAGGAAACCAAGTGGCTTGTCTAAATTCACATAGCTCATCTCTGCAGAAGCTTAACAGCTCCTGGTCAACTGGGCTTTCCATAATGTTGTTGTACCTTGAAGTTTTTCTGTCTATCTCATACCAAAAAGGAGAGGCAATATAGCAGATCAACGGATACCAAATTCAAGTCAGACCCAAGTTCAAGTCTCCATTCTAAGAGTAGTCATGGGATCTTGGGAAAGTTGCCTGCTCTTGTACTTCAGTTTCCTTGCCTAATTTGGGGTAAAAATATTCATATTACCTTCATTAGAGGATAGGTTTAAAACTCATGTGATGTATCTATATCTATATCACTTTATAAACTGAAAAGTACAGTAGAAATGTGAGCAATTGTTAGGGGTGTGCCAGCAAATGTTTACCAACTGGTTCTCTAAGAAGGAAAAACATGCAGACACACTTAAATTTAATCTTCATTATTAACATTTTGTCCATCATTTTCTTAAATCTAGACAATCAACCACATAAGAAATCAAGTCCTTATTTTATAGCATTTGTAGATTTTCAAGGTATAAATGGTCATGTTGAACATAGAATAATCAGAGAGAGCCAGTTTGAACTAGTACCAGAATACCTCTGGCATTATTATTATTGATAAAACTTGAAACAACCAAGAAACGTATTTAGAAGTTACTGGGCTGCATTATACCTTCACACCCACTTTTGGCAGAAGGCAACACACCCCAGGTTCTTTTTATTTTCTTTTTTTTTGGAGGTTTAGAAGGAAGTTCAATTTATTTTTCTCTTTTCCCTACTTCTTTTTGGGAAGGGGGATGGGAGTAGTGGCTAGAAGTCACAAAGAGGTCTGGGAAGACAAGTAGCAATGGACACCAAACACACAAAGAGAAGCTGATTTTAGTCACCTTCTGTCTAAAACAGATGCCAACAGCTCTGTTCTCTCTTTGTGATCTAACTTGCCTTTAACAATCTAACATGTACCCCATAGCCCTTCCTACATGGTTACATTTGTAATCTGTTCTTTTTGCCTTAGACTTCCTGAAAGGTCTAAAACCAATGGAGATCTAACCAGACACTAATGGAGCCTCCTTTTCTGGGTTGTTGTCTCTGCTGGATTTTTCTCAGCTTCTGATTTCCCCCCCAGATGAGGGACAGTGGGTTGTGATTAGTGTATACCGGATAAGCTGCCTAGCCTCTGCCCTTTATTTCAGGAGTGTGGCTTTGTTTTACCTGGCTCACACAGGTACTGGGCCAGACTACAGTCCAAGAAGGTCAGGATATGGCACGTAGGGCTGAGCCACCAAAAGCAGAGTAACTCTCCTCAGGTGGCCTCATGGAGAGAAAAAGTAGTATTTCCTTAATTCTTTCCCTGTCACAGTAGCCTTTTAATTAGTAGGCTGCTCCCATCCTTTCCATGTCCCCCCCCCAAAAAAAAGCAGGGAAAAGAGAAAAATAGAATAAAGTGGGTGCGAAGGAGACTGATCTAAGAGTGATGAAGTCCTAAACTACAGCAATTCGATGTACACATACTGTACCCCTAAACCTCCAGAGTATCCAGAAAGCTCACATTCTCTTAAACTTATCTAGGGTTCTGTATCTGGGTACATTTACACAGACATGTGTACTAGCTTAGCCCTTAATAGTGATATACCCTCTCTGATGCAAGGACTGATACCTAGCTCCCATCAAGAAATGCATCCACTCATTGTTCATGCCAAGGGTGTATGTACTGCTTGAACTCGGCATGATCACACAATTCCATCCAAGTAAGGATAATCTGTTTACCACAACTGTTTACAATCTGTTTACCACAATCTGTTTACCACATATCTCCCTCTCACTTACAGGCCAAGTTAGCAAAGTTGACTTCTGCTATAAATATCGGAATTAGGGGAAGATCACAAAGAAGTATCACGATACTTCTTTTAGAGCCCTTGCATGAGTGTGTTTAGGTATTCATATTGGGAAAAGAGCTTTTTTGATCTTTTAGGTCTCTAGTGAGAAAGAATGACTTTTAAAATAATTATCTCTACCCATATTTAAGTTGGATGATTTTGTCCTTCTAGAATTTTATTTTTAATATTGTTCTATTTTTATGGTTTTCCTTTTTTGACTGGGCTGCTTACAATTGTTCAAATGTTTGTTGATTCTGCTAAGTAATGTGCTGCTAAAGAGACTGAGAGCACTCAATTTCTTCATCACTGGACCAATGATTCAAAAATATTCTTTTTTAGTGAGAAATCTTGGACCTTTAGCATTTTACATGATCCAAATCCTGACTATAAGGTATGGGACCATAAAGACTTTCAAGATCTCCAGTGCTCCAACAACTGACCTATAGACAACTAAAAGAGCTAGGAAGGGTCAACATTGTTAACTTCTTCCTTTTGGTGCTAAATGAATAAAAATAGAGCACAGAATCAAAGATTTAGTGGTGGAAAGGACCGATCATTTAGTCCATCACTCTCATTTTACAGATGAGAAAATGGAAGCCGAGAGAAATGGGATGACTTGCCCAAGGTCACAGAGTGACAGAATAGTTATGAGGCAGATAATTCACTTATTTAACTCACTTAAGACTAAGATAGCTCACTTAAAATGAGTGTATACACCAAATAGAATATATAACATGCAAGCAATCAACATGAATAGTTTCCTATTCAGATTTTCATCTTTATGTTTTAGCTGTAGGAGAAACAGTCTGGGTTATTAATATCTACAGATTGTTGGGGACATCTTGTATTATGGGCCTTACTAGGTCTTCGTGTAGAACATGAATGACCACTTGTCCAGGCAAAGATGATTCCTATCTAGATGTAGGTTGACCTGATGACCTAAGATCTCTTGCAGCTCTGAGATTCTGTGAGTTCAAGTTAGACATCAACACAGGAATAGGACTAATGACATAAATATATGATGTTTACTGTTATAAGTCAAGTAATTTTTGTTAATTTCCACTAAGAAACCTCAATGGATGTAACTGACAGAAGTTAGCCAGTTGTCAATAGCCATTCATTTTTGTTTCCTGAGATCCTGATTTTATGTTGTTATTGAGTTTATAAAGCTCTAACTTAAGCTAACATGTGAAAGATGATTATTCTTATATCTTTACACCAGTACTCAGAAACACACCTGCACACAAAATACTCCTTGTTTTTTTTTCCTCCCCCAGAAAATTTCAATGAGTCTGCCCAGCTGAAGTTGATTGAATACCGTAACAGAGGCTTAAAATTGACCTGTCACTATCCTGAAGATGCACGGGACTTTAAAATGCAGTTGCTGAATGGGACTGGAAAGCAAAAAATCTGTGAACTCAAAAAGGATAATCAAGGTGTTCAAACGACCAATGACTTGGTGTCTTGTAAGCCCGAGCTTTCCAAGACAAGTGTAATTTTCTTCTTGTCTGACTTGAACAGCACTCATACTGGCCATTACTTCTGTAGTCTACATATTACTTTTCCTCCTCCTTACCAGAACAGTACTTCAAATGGAGTTTATGTACATATCTATGGTAAGAGAGTTTTCAAAATCTATTTTGCTTAAAGGGAATCGGAAAATGGGAAAAAAGCCATTCTGTTAGAGAGACATGTGCACATGCATTTTGCCAACTATTATAAAATGTCTCAACAAATCAAAAGCCTTTGGTGTTGGTATTCCTTTAGCTTCACCAAGTCACAATTATTTTCTAATGGAAAAACATAAGGTGATAACTTTACATAAAACTTTGTTTTTATGACAGATTTATAGGAATATGTTTTATTCAATGATACTGAAAAATCCAAAATAATTAGCATTTATACAGCTCTTTAAGATTTGCAAAACTGTATGTGTGTGTGTGTGTATGTATATGTATGTATATACACATGCATATATACATATATATGGATATGTTGTTTTCCTCTCAATAAAACCCTGCAAGGTAGGTACTATTATTATACCCTTTGCAGAGATGAGAAAACTGAGGATGAGTAGGATTAAATGACTTGCCCTGGGTCACAGGTGCAAGTACCAGAGGCAAGGTTTGAACTCAAATCTTTCCGATTCTAGTTGCTCTACATTGTTCCCTTTAGTTATGTTATAAAACATTCCTTTTAAATGCATATCCCGAAAAGCTAAAAATCAATAATGATTCAAAATACATTTCTTTAGCCTTTAGTATGTGCAAAGTGCTGTATTAGGTGCTGGGGGCTAAGAAAGATTTAAAGCAGCAGTTTTTACCTTCAAGGAACTTAACATCTACTGAGAAAAATATTAAGAAAAAAACCACCACACCTGAAATGATGATAATAGAAGCCTAAAATCTAAGGTTAGAGACAAAAACTTCCCAAATATTTAGCTGAACTAACTATGGCATAGTGGAAAGAGTGCTCACTGTGGAATTGTGAGACCTAGATTCAGATTCCAGCTCTGATAACCTGCCTGTCTTAGGTCTCACCATCTCCACTACACACTCCATCATCTACTTGCCTCTTAAAACTTTTAATTCCCTTCCAGGCTCAGTGCAGGCACCATCTCCTAGGCAAAACATTTTCTGTTTCCGCGGTTATTAATTCTCAATCCCTTCTCAAATTTCAGCATCTATTTATCCCTATAGACGTTGTTTCCTCCTCAGATTTAAACTCCTTGGGGGCAAGACCTGCTTCGCTTTTAACTTTGGCTCCCCAGTGCCTTACATACAGTAGGCTTAAAAGTTTTGTCCAATTGAATTGAGTTTGTAACAACAAGAATGTCACTTAAACTCTCTGATTCTTTTTATTTTTTCCTCATCCATAAAATAGGGATAATAATATTTGCAATAGCTACCTCTCTGGGTTGTTGTGAAGAAATACTTTGCAAATCTTAACAGGACTATAAAAATGTCAATCATTTGTTGTTATTTGACAATATTGGTTTTTTCTAGTGTGAGCACTCCCTCCACTGATGCAAATCAACAAATGTCCCAAAATATATAGTCTTAGAATTTAAGATGAAGTTTAGATTGAAAGTTTCAGTGATCTGTCTGTGGTCATGAAGCCAGTATATATTAGAGGTTAAGACTTGAATTTAGGCCTTCTTGACTGCAAGGTTCACCCTTTACTCACATTAGACTGCCTCTCATTGTGAGTTATTACTAATAAAGGGAATATAAAAATATAACATGTCGCTTGACATAAGACTAACAAAATAGAGTGGATGAAATTACCTTGAACATTTGCAATGTTTATTCCTCACACAGATATTTGTTGTTGTTGTTCAGTTATTTCAGTCCTATCTGATTCTTTGTGACTCCATTTGGGTTTTCTTGGCAAAGACACTAGAGTGGCTTGCCATTTCCTTCTCTAGCTCATTTTACAAATAAAGAAACTGAGACAAATGGGGTTAAGTGACTTGCCCAGGGTAAAACAGTTAGTAAGTGTCTGAGGCTGGATTGGAATTTAGGTCCTCCTGATTCTAGGGCTGATGCTCTATCCACTGTGTAGAGAAGGCTTATCTACCAACCACAGGCTACATAAACTATATGTGTGTATATGTATACTTATGTATGTGTGTATATGTATACATGTATATGTCTAAATATATACACACACACAAATATATTCTTTTTTTGATGTCTGAGTTAATATAAGCTGATGTTTAGATTATTCTACATTTATTGAATGTCATGAGTGTTTAAAAAGCATAGCTTAAGTCTATTAAGGATCTCTTCGATTTGTGACTCCCTAGTATAGGAAAGAAGATTTTCAAAATTACACTCCTAACACTGACATTTGTCTCATTTTTTTCCAATTTAGAATCAAAGTCTTGCTTCCCTCTGGTCTTATGGCTATCTATTGGAATTGCATTTCTCCTCTGTTTTACCGGAATATTTGTTGGCACATTTTCTTACTGTGTAAGAAAAAAGGTGAGAAGAGTCTGTCTTTTCCTGTAAAAACCATTCCTCTTCAAGATAGATGATGCATTTTGGACCTGGCTGGCTGAGGAACATCAGGGAGATTTGCTTGTTATGGGGAAGGATGAATTGCATTTGCCAAAGTAATTCAAGAAAATGAGAATAACTTCTCTCCAGATGTAGCTCCTGGTTAATTTAATCATCTGGATCAGAAGGGAAGAAAAGCCCTTAATATAAATCAGCAAGAGTACTCAGGGAGGAAATCTGCCTGTTGGCTTGTTCACAGCATGATAAGTGGAGTAGGGAGATGCCAGTCTGGCTTACCTCCCTGGCCTTTTGAACTTGAACCATGGAAGAGAGCCAGGACACAATGAGAGGGCCTTAGCCTTCGTAGCTTCACTGGGTTTGTTTTAGCTTCATAGCTCATTGTAGCTCTGAATTCAAAGAGCTGAAGCCTCAATGAACAGAATGTTCTGTTAACACACAAATATTCCTGATACCAATGGAAAAAAACAAATGAATCCATGATAGACTAAATTTTGAAGAAGGTGGGGAGGGTGTAAAACTTAAGGAGAGGGTATGTGTAGAGGAGCCAAGGCAAAAATGAGGAAAATTGCACTTAAAAAAAGATACAATGGCAAGGTATTTCTGTAGAAAATTCTCCCTTTAAGGGTTACCACCAGACATGTAGGATCATAGATACAGAAACAGATGAAACCTTAATGGTAATTAAGTACAACCTCTGTGTCATCTATAAAATGCAAGAGTGTTGTCATTTTGTGGATAACAACACTGAAGAACAGAGACGTTAAGTAACTTGCCTAAGTCACCCAGGTCATAAGAAGTGAAACCTAGGTTTTCTGGCCCCAGACTTTCTTTCCACATGCTCTTTACTGACTCCCTTTGGCTTCTGTTGTAAATAAGTTCTAAATGCCTAACTTGATGCTGTCTTAAAACTTCGGGACCCATTTGAAGGATCTGTGATTTCATCAGCTATGGGAACACCCTCTTTCTTCTACCCCCAAAACCAACACAAATCTATGACTTAGAAAAATCCAAGGGAGTTGCTTGGGGCACATAAAGGTTGAATTATTTGCCCGGGGTCAGAAACTGGCAGGGACTTCCAACAAAGAATAGGAAAAGGAGGGTAGAGAACAAAGCTGGCAGTTTGAGGTTAGGAAACAGAGAGTAACGGACTCGCCTTGTTCATGGGATGCTCTTTCTTTTCAGATGAGCCAAAGTCAATCTAGTTTGCATGAAACTAATAGTGAATACATGCCTATGGCAGCAGTGACTGCAGCTAAAAACCCTGGATTCAAAGGTAGGTCTCAATTCAATGATAGAAGCGTTAGGGCCTAAATATTTATGTTTTCTTTTAAGGGTAAAGGTCCCTTTCTTTTTGGATTGATTCCAGTAGGTTTGAAAGAAGCAAGAGATTTCACATTAAGAATGCAGTTTGCTCTCATTGCAGTACATTGAGAAAAAACACCAGTTTGACAAAAATGAATCAGTTAACTAACTAAAAAACAGAACTCGAGAATTGTGCTCATTCTAGTTCTTTGCATTGAATTGTTCACTGTCAGTTTAAAAGCTCAGAAATCTCCAGGATTAGAGTGAAGAGAGGGAATAAACATGCTGTAGGCCACCACATTTTGCAACTATCCTACTGACTTTGGGAAAGGGACATGAATATGGAACCATAGGCCAAGAAAGGACCTTAGAAATAATAAGAACATAGACACAGAGCTGGAATTTAATCTCCTCATTTAATAAATGTTTTTCCTCAACCATGAGTGTTCTACACTCAGCTTTATTTGGGTACTACTTATAATCACTGGTTGGCACTTCATCTTCTGAGTTCTAAAGAAATATATCTTGAATGAGGATTCTGATAGGACTATGTGTCAGGAACTATGCTAGGCATTGAGAATACAAGTACAAAGAATGAAAGAATTTTGAAAGAAAATAATGTAATGTAAGCTTCAGAATAGGAAATATATTTCTTCTTAGTCCTGAAGAGCACCTAGGACAGCTCCCTTCAGGCCTGGAAGACCTCATATAGCTAGCTAGCAATCAATCATTTAATATATAATAAATAAATATTTATTAAACTTTTATGATAAGCATTTATCATAACAAATAGTCAATAAACATTTATTATTTATTAATAGATTAGCATTTACTAAGAGCCTACTATGTGTTGGTATGTTGCTAGGTACTATGGCTAGGAAGAAAAAAACGAAATTGTCCCTCCCCTCAGGGAGTTTATGTTCCCTTTTTAGCACTCGCCAAGTGAATGGCACAGATACTGGCAGTTTCAAAAATTGGAAGTCAAAAAAAGTGGGATGGGGTGATTGGAGAAGGCTTTTTGAAGACCTCAGTCTCCCCATTTGTAATATGCAGCTGGTTGGACTATATTAATTCTAAGGTCCCTTCTAGCTTTAACGGCTTAAGAATCAATGAAGAGGTCAGATTTGAGATAGACCTTGAAGGATGGGTAGAATTTGGATAGTTGGAGAGGAAAGAGAAGAGTATTCTACAAGGTAATTCATTAAAAGAAAGTCTGGCAAATGGTGGTATCTTTATGACTAATTCTAAATTTGCATTACAGGTATGAGCACATAATCAGAAGCTAGAGTGTCTATACTGGGAAGCATGCAATCAACTCTTTCTACTTGGAATTCTGTATTCTTCTCATTCAACCAGGGACTTTGAATTCATTTGGTTATACTATACATGAATCTCAGTGACTATATCTGTCAATGGCTTTTCAACAGGTTGGGACAGTTGGGCCCAGCTCAGAGCCAGCATATAGTTTATCTACATTGGCCCCTGAGAAAAATAAACACATCCACCTTTGGAAAAAAAGCTCAAAAAAAAAAAAGAATGAAGCCAACGCTATAAAATCTCTTCTGAGGAAAATATCTACCACTTATTCTCAGATCACTCGCAGACTACCTCTTCTTTTCTATGGAGTCCAGTTTATCATTACTTAGCAAACACCTTAGAAGCTTGAAACATACCCATAGGATAATAGGGGGAAACACTTGAACTATACCTAAGGACTTTCAAGATATTGGGTAGCCCTGCAGTGCTACAATATTGTTCTGACTTCAAGTATCTTAGGAACTTCAGGATGCAGCTCAGAAAGCTTAAATATATTTTATTTTCTCCTAGGATTCTCTTATTTACTCATTCCCTTCTGTGCATCCACTTGTCTATCAAGCAGAGTCAAGGGGATATTTCTAAATTATTTTGCTGAAGCTTAAAAAGACTATATGGTATTTTGAGACCTTGATAAATATAATCTGTTTTCTCTAAAACAAATGATCTGTCACAGAAACTCATCTTGTTACTTCAAATTTACCTAATCATATCAGCTACTTCAGTATCATCAGTGATAGGAAATACTACTCAGTATTACTATAGCTTCCTCTGATATTATCAGTCTTCTATTGTATTTGGTGGTTACCAGCCAATGTCATTTTCATAGATCCAATTTAAACAGAGGATTTTTTTGTGGCAATATGACCCCCTTCTAGCGGAGGACTGACTGGTAATTTGCTTGAGAAGTTCTAGGCTGGCTAAATGGCCAACAGTCTCAATAAAACTGCTATTTAAACCTTGTATCCTTACATGCTACAGGAGCTCCCAGAATTCCCAGACCCAAGGAATTAAGATGGAAGGACCCATTATAGTCCACATAGTCCTGAAATAAGCACTAGAGGGCTGTCTCCATCATAAAGGTTGAATGACTTCCATTGGTATGCCCTGGCTCCAGGTTATTTTGCCTTAGGGTTTGCAAATAACTTGAGGAGTCACAGGGACCTCAAGCTGAACCAGTTCACCCTAAAAAACCCACTAGGAATTTCTGAGTTTCTGATAGGATCATAGAATAACTCCAAATTCATGATGGGGTTCTGGATGCCCAGAATAGAATGAGATAGATTTCTTTTGAAACTTCCTTTGTCAAAGGAGGGATTTCTTTTGAAATACTCTTTGTCAAGAATACATCTAAAATGAAATCCTTGGTTCTGATATCCTCTCTGCTTCATTTTTTTTTTTTTACATAATCACAGCTTCCAAGTTACAAAAATGTATGTAAGTTCTGTTTTGTCTCTTATGTGAACTGAGTGTCTAGTAGTATGCAAAATAATAGTCTAGTATCCTTAATGTTTTAGTTACTGATATCATTATGTATACCTATGTGCTTTAAGTATGCATAGTGTTGAGTTTGTACAGTATAATACTGAACTTGTAATTTGAATCAAGTTTTGATGTTCACTGCCTTCAACTTACCTGGACTAACACTCTAGATCTGAAGAGATTTTTACTAAGTCTTTTTTGACTAAGGGTATTGAGAGTGGACAAATAGGCCGAACTTTGGTATGTTGGTCTTTTGGCCAACAGGCACATTAATACAATGCTTCTTCTGTCAATAACAATGAACATTTCTAAGTAAATTTATTAAAAGGCAAAATTCCTGTGAAACGAATTTGGTTTAACAGTATCAGATTTTCAAATGAATTAAAAAAAGGAATAAAGATAAAGGTTGTTTTTTTTTTTACAGTCTAAGTTTTCTTATTTTCTTGGGTGTGGAATACTTCACTCAAAGTGTCTTTCTGACTGGGTTGGGGTGACAGGGAAGGAATCTTTATTTCACTTATGACCTATTCACCACCATTTCATTTTAGGACCAGAGGCAATCATAGTCAAGTGACTGTGCAGCAACTTCTGTCCCTGACTTTTCAAATTCAGACTATTGCTGCCTTAGCACCTGAATCAGAATCACAGAATGTTCAAAATGGAAGGGGATTTAGAGAGCATTTGATACACCCTTTCATTTTGTCTCTGAGGATACTGAGACTCAGAGAGGTAAAATTACTTGATCAATGTCACACAGGCAGTTAGAGGCAAAGCAAGTTTCCAAATTCCTCTGCCTTTACATTTACCAATCATGTTCAATAATTAAATAATTCAACAAACATTTATTAAGTGCTTATTATATGTAAGGCAGTGTGCTAAGCCCTGGGGACATAGAGGGAAGGCAGAGTAAGGAAACAAGCATTTATTAAGCACCTACTGTGTGTCAGATATTGTACTAAACACTTTATTTTGGTCCTTACAATGAGGTAGATGGTATTATTATACCCATTTACAGTTGGGGAAACTTGTGTGGCTAGAGGCAAAGTAACTTGCCCAGAGGTCACACAGTAAGTGTTGGAGTTAAACTCAGGTTTTCTGGAATCCAGGTACAGCTCTCTATCCATTGTATCACCTAACAGCCCCTACTCTCATGAAGCTCACAGTTGAATGGGAGAAACAGGATGTAAACAACAATGCATGAACAACACACACACACACACACACACACACACACACACAGGATAAATTGGGGATAGTTTCAGGGGAAGGCATTAAGATTAAGGAAGGCTGGGAAAGGCTTCTTCTAGAAGGTGGGATTTTGGTTGAAACTTGGAAGGAAACCAAAGGCAGAAATAAGAAGGGAAAAAGTTCAGATATGGAGGACAGCCAGTAAAAACTTTCAAAGTTGGGAACTGAGTGCTGTGTTTGAGGAATAGCTAGGAAATGAGCGTCAGTGGATAGCAGAGTATGTGAGAGGAAGTAAGAGATAAGAAAGGTAGGAAGGGGCCAGGTTATGAAGGGCTTCAAAAGCCCAACAGAGGATTTTATATTTTATCCTGGAGTCAATAGGGGATCGCTGGAGTTTATGGAATGGAGGGAGGGAGATGACATGGTCAGACAGCTGAGTGGAGATGGATTGGAGTAGGGAGAGACTTGAGGCAAGCAGACCAACTAGCAGGCTATTGCATGGCCCAGGTGTGAGATTATGAAGGCCTGATGAAGAACTTGATAAATATTTGTTGAATGAATAAATGAAAGAACAAACTTGAAGATAGTAGTTATGTCTCCACTAAGTCTTCTCACTTTCAGGATATCTCCAGATTTCTTTTAACCAATCTTTCATATGATATGGTTTCCAGACTCTTTGTCATCTTGATTTTCCCTCCTTTGGATATGTACAGCTCATCAGTGGCCATTCCCTTCATGTTTTCCTACTCTGTACCTTATGCTTCTATGTATTCCATCTGAGACATCACTGGGTTTTATTCTTTGTTTCTTTAGTGCAGCCGTGTTATCTTGTTGGCTCGTATTGAACTCATAGTCAGCTAAAACTCTTAGATCTTTTCATATGTATCAAGCAAGCCTCCCACATTTCCTGAATCTTCTACTTATCCAGTTGGTTTTTTTAATTAAAGTACAGGAATTTACATTTATCCCTGATAAATTTCAACTTATTTTACTTATCCTAAATGGATCTAGGCTACTGACATTTTAAAAATCTCCATTCTGCCATCAAACATTGTAGTTAACCCACTCAGCTCTGCATAATCTATAAATTTGATAATATATTTTATTGTCTTTATTCAAATTATTAATAAAAAGAATGGTTGCCTAACCTTAAGTACAATACTAGAGATCTCATTAGATTCATTAGATTGTAAGCTCCTTGAAGGCAGGGACTGTCTTTTACCTCTTTTTGAATCCCCAGCATTTAGCATAGTGCATGGATTACAAAGTCCTTAGTAAGCATTTAATAAATGTTTACTGATTGATTGATCTCACTTTGAGTTGAATCCATCTGATAATATGCATTCTTTGGCTCTAGTAAGTCAGTCACAAAATCACTTAATCAGACTGTCATCCAGTTCACATTGCTTGATATTGGTTCCCCAAATATCATGAGAAACAATTTCAAATGCCTTATAAAATCAAGGTATGCTATGTCTAGGACATTCCATTAACCTATCAGTCTAAATATCCTTTTAATAGCTAACATTTATATACTTAAGTCAACAAATCAATCAGGTTTATTAAGCACTTAGTATGTGCCAGGTTCTGTGCAAAGCACTGAGAATACAAATATAAAGAGAAAAAGAAATTGTCTTTACCTTCTAGGACTTTGCCTTCTAATGGAGGAAGTCAACCCATAAAGGCAGCTGAAAAGTGCATCCATGTGTGCATGCATATGGTGAGATGAAAGGGGCATTGTAGAGAAAGTTCAGAGAGTCAGAAGTGTAGCCTGGAGAAGAAGGATGATAAGGCTGACCTGGACATTATAAAATGGAAGTTCCAGGAGGAACCAGACAATTAATTATAGGAAGAGGCCACTGGAATGGCATTTATTTTGCATGTGAGAAGTCCAGGGGTGAAATAGGTTCCAGGGTTAAGTGAGTTTCCAGAGTGAAGAGGATTCTGTGGATTGGGACTTCATACTTAAAAAAAGAAAATGTGTGTGTGTTGTTCATGCATTACTGTTTACGTGCTATTTCTCTAATTCAACTGTGAGCTTCGTGAGAGCAGGGACTGTTAGGTGGTACAATGGATAGAGAGCTGGACCTGGAGTCAGGAAAACCTGAGTTTAACTCCAACACATACTGTGTGACCTCTGGGCAAGTTACTTTGCCTCTATCCACACAAGTTTCCCTAACTCTAGCAGATTGCAAAAAGTGCTTAACATATGCCAGTGATTGGACAAATCACTAGGCTTGAGGGGATGTCAGCAAGGAAAAGAGAGTTATGTTCTAAGTTTTTTTGTACAAGAGGGGAGTAAGCTAGAGGCTGGGCTTAGCCAAGAATGAGAGTTTCTCAGGAACACTTAAATGTAGGAGGGCAATTCAGAGATTCCAAACTCAGGAGTCTACATAGTATAGACTCCATTGGGCACATGAGGGGTTTCCATGGGATGTTTGTCAAAGATATCTGGGAAACTGGATAAGAATGTATGTTTATTGAGAAGTTAAATCCTGATGCTATTCAAAAGGAACATATAGATGAAACGGTAAGGTTTGATTCACTGGAAACTTTT